GGGGCCCCCGGGCCTCCTCTGATTAATATATTCAGGTGGGGGAAACTCTCCCCCCCCCTTTTGAAAATTCAAAAAAAAATTATTCCTTTAATACGAATCTAATGCATCCATGATGTATCCTATAAAATACTCCCTCCGTCCTAAAATGTAAGATTATTTTTGTCACTATGATAGTATAAAAATTGGTCTTATATTTTAAAACGGAGGGAGTACATATTAACAGGTCAAAACACATCTTATATTTTTGGGATGAAGTACAACACATAGTTCTATCTTCGCATAAGTTGCACGCGTAACTTCTAAATGTAACCACATTCAGCAAGGATGGAGCATTATTCCTTATTGCACAGTACACAAAGATAAATGATTCTGATTTGTGGAAAACGAGACGTACATTACGTCCCATACTAAGAAAACAAATCACCAGACAACTAGAAAAGGACAAATCACCAGACTACTACGGGCTCCATGTTTAGTTGGCTGATCTATGAAGCAATTTAAGGGAATTCACCGTTGCCATAACCTGACCCATTCCCTCCACCATTACCGTATCCACCACCTTCGCCATGACCTCCACCATCACCATTGCCGCCACCGTTAGCATAGCCAGTTGCCCCATAATAGCCTTCACTGTCCACCTTGCTGGAGCCGCTTCCAAAGCCAGACCCGTCGCCATGGCCACTAGATCCTTGGTCACCGTCTCCTCTTCCGGCACCTCCACCACCGCCAGCACCTCCGGCGTCAGTGCGCCCACCGCCAATCCATGCTCTTCCGGCACCACGGCTAGTACTTGAGCTAGATCCTGACCCTGACCCAGAGCCATACCCACTGCCACCACTACCACCACCGCCGCCACCACTACCACCACCACCGGAACTAGCCCGGGCATGATCCGGCGACCCAGACGTACTAACACTACTGCCAGCCGACCCATCGCCACCCCCAGACCCTGCCCCAGCACCGGTTCCGGTTCCACCTCCCACTCCCCCTCCCTGACCTTGCCCCTCTGCACTAGACAATCTAGCTACCCGTGCAGCATTGGATAGTCCAACTACTAGCAGGGCAACAAAACCAAGTGCTACAAGTTTGATACCAGCCATTGTTGGTGTGTGTTGTAAACTTGTAAAGTGGATGCTGAGATGAATATGGGTACGTGGAAGTTTGCATGGGTACTTATAGTGCCGCGAGCCCAAGCAAGGGGCGCTCTAGTTTTAGTTTTAGCTGGTTACTGGCTCAGTAGTAGTTGGAGCTGTCTAGCTGATTGATCAAGTTGACTGCAACTTCCATAAGATTCCATGCGCCGAACGATGAACTAGCTTGGGTTGACAATGCAGCGACGACCTCGGAGCTTGCGGTCGAGCTGTACATGCGTACGTATGTGCCAAGATGTACATGGAAACCTGAAATCTACTGCGTGTTGTGCTCCGCACTCAACGGTTTGACAATCAAGTGGAGCTAGAAGCATTTCCATAGATCGTCATGGATATTAGTTACGATGAGTTTGAATCTTGGATCGTCCAACCTTAGTATATTTGCTTGGTTAGATGAAAATGGAGTTGAAGAACTATGTTTTATTTAGGCGTCCAGAGCTCAGATGCAGAGTCTCATTCCTTTCCTTGTACTCATGCACTCTTTCTTATCGCTCCTCTCTATCCTACTGTTAAAGCTGTCGCCATTCTTGTTTATTTTAAATGCAAAGTCGTCGGTTGTGGTCACCTTAATTTTGTGTTTTTTTCCATAAATAATGGATTTTTATTGACTTAAAATAAAGCATCAACAAACAAAATGCGCACATATCCGGTCTCTATATAATTAGGATGTAGACAGTCAACACCAATGCACACACACAAAAAAGCACGCTGGCAAAGAGCAAAGTCATACAAGATCAAATCCATGCCAAGACGGAGGAGCAAAAAAGAAACAAATTCAAAGCGATCAAAAGAGCGAGCAACAAACTATAGAACGAACATATCTGCACCAACTATCTTTTGACATCACAACAACAAAAAGTTCTTCAATAGCAACGCCTTCAGAGAAGGAATGATACTCAAGCACCGCCGGTCCTGGATCAAACCACAGAAGGCAAGATCCTATGTTTCACCCTGAAGATCAACTCAGAGCAATGTCGTCCACAAGGCAACGATGCAAAAAACATCGCCATTGTCAGATATAACCAAATAGGTCAAATTTAGGGTTTTCACCCCGAAGCTCAAGATCGGGTACTCGAGAAGCACCACCAATCAAAGTCATCATGTGATGTCACAACACCACTTTCCGTGATCCCAGCAACTACATATGTATCATGGTCTTGACATGAGATGCCATGCAAGTGAATACCATGCACGTACAAGCAGACAGTCAAGCCGCGACAATAGCCTTTCGCCACCAAAGCCTCAAAAAATGAAGTTGCGATGGAGGTTGACGAGGGAGGAAGGTCACTCACATGGCCAAAATCCCAATTCAGTATGTTTCGGCAATCCCGCAGGGTCCTCGTGATCCATCGTCCTCGCTTGTGGCCCAAGAACCGGTTGGCAAAACGTACTCCTCGTTGCTGCCGGATTCGAAGATCCAAGACCCTCTAGTCTAGCCACAATAATTACATTGCAGCGCGGGACCACGACGCAGTCGCGCGCCCAAGCAGAGAACCAGCATTTTGGGACCTAGCAGGCCGCCATGGCCACCCTCGTACATGAGATAGGATCACAACCACCTATGTCTCGCCACTAGAGACCACAAGGTGGACAAGAAATGCCACTGTCGCCGCTACACAACCATATACCCTTTGCCTCAAGCTGCCCCTAGGAGTTCATACTAATGGTTAGATGATTGTTTGCTTGTGTGCTTATTGTCCTTCCCCACTCAAAAATAAGGTTACAGAATGTTCTTCAATTCAAATAGGTATGATTTCGTCCATCGTTCCAGAGCTAGGCACTTTCTATTGAGAATCTTCGACAGAGATCGTTCCTTCAGTTTAGCAATCAATTAGATCCATACTGACTTAGCTTCAAGCATGGCTTGCCGTTTCGAGGCTCGATGCTACTCTTGGGAACATCATTCGTTCATAGATAACATCCCACTGTTGAAGGCTATCGGAGCGGAGACCTCCCCGCCGCCACCTTCATAGACCGGCACCGGGGCTTAGCCCAGCCATTAGTCTCTAACACCGGTAAGGGGAAGAGAGGACGGAAAGGTAGGAGGTGGCGCCGGCTGGGAAGGGAGATGGGGGTGGAGCTGGCGGCGTGTTTCAGATCTCATCCCTGATGGTGCATCAGCTTTCTGTTCTTTTACCCTTCTTAACGAATAAAAACAACATTCCTATCTTTCA